TCGATTGGATCGAAAATAATAACAATACTCAAGGCTCTGTTAAAATATCCCGACAGGTAAATATATACAGTTGTATAAATAGCCGATCGAAATTAGTCTTCATGACGATAAATGATGATTTTAACTAATTCAGCAATCGGAATATACATATAATTTTTTTATCTAGGTGATGTCAAGTAGACATTGGCTAACGATAGAAGACTGGCTCGAATGCTCATTACCTTTATGTCCATTAAAAATTAAACACGAAGGAAGATTAAGTAGAGCAGATCCTGATACTTTGCATGTTTGTTTTAGTAATTCCCTGGTCGGTGGAAAAGTCCTCACACACGGAAATAGTCAGGTACAAAAGTAAACATTACCAAGTACATAATTTTTCCCAAATATTGCTTCCATAATTGATTCAAGTCTTTCATTAAAAATTTCTTTGCGTGGGTATCGAAATTCTTTAAGTTTTCTATTTCAATTTCAGGAATGTCTGCAATTTTGTTCAATGCCAGAATTATTATGCATGATGCTGTCATGCGAAGCATTAGAAGATAATGAAACGATATTTATAGAAAATGCTAGGAAAACAACAAGGTTGGATCAGCATAAAAGTAGACCATCTTTTGAATTTTTAGAGGAACCTCAAGAGGTATGTGAATGATAGTGAAATTATACACATTCATACTTAATTATATATATTAGATTATTAAATTATAAGTACTAACTCATCCAGATAAGATTTCAGTGTGTTGCATGGATCCAGAAGACTATTCCAAACTTCCAGCAAGTCAATTTGAAGAAGACAATGTATTACGGGAATTGAACAAGTGTCTACTAGCATTTCGGCAGAAACCTTCTGTAGTTAACGAATCTTTAGAAAGTAAAAGCTCAGAACCAGAACATTGTTCTCATAGAAGGTAAATATAAAATTTCCTGAATCAGGATAAAAAAACCTTATTATAAGCTTGTCATACAGCATGTCAAGGATGCATTTGATAAAAATTTCGAATATTGGGTTGAAAAAACTATAAAAAATAATCAATATATGATTATATTATAACGATATGTTTATAATCATAAATTTGGTTTTCAATCAGATTGTCACCAATTGGAGAATCAATATGTAATACACCACCAGACGTTGAAGCAACTGTGATAATAAAAAAGCCAACTTCGAAATCTCCGACGCCTCCGGAAATCGTAACAAGTAAGTCAAATTGGTATATTTATTGGATGGCAAATTATTTAGAATTTGTCGTCTGGTATATAATTTTTACATATCTAACATTCTGCAAAATCCAGAAATAGTATGTGTATAATTTTTTTTCAGATCCTATAGATCGAAAAAGGTGGTTATCGCCTTGTGACAATACTGTCAACAGCCGCAGAGAGCGATTTATAGTCCTTGGTTCTTCCGGAGAATGTCTTCCAGTCAATAGACGAGCAAGTCCTTTTCCAGATTTAATAAGGCAAAATTTGCCAATATCAGAAGATACTAGCAGTGATGAAGAATTTCACAGCGCGAGAACAAGTTTAGATGGTGAGATAAATAACAAGCAAAAATAAATTATTGCAATAAAAAACTGATAAATTTAATTTTGCTTTCCCCAGGTGGCAGTGGAGATGAGACCCAAGCTCGACGATACAGTCTAGAACTGGATACTCCAGCAAGGCGTAGTACGTTTGCAGCAAGGCTACGAGAAGCCTTAAGGCATGAAAGTGATTTCAGCAGTTCCACTGCCGACGATTTCGACGAAGATGCATCAGGATACGCTGTTGGAATCAGCGTGGCTGGTAGCGGACTGGCGGATGGTGATATCAGGTAATGGTGAAGGTATAATAATTATTGCTACTTAGTTGTAACTTGACTGTCTAAACAATGTGCACAATTGTGTAGCCGCGTAATATTATTTTTTTTATTTTTTCTAGGTTGCGTCGGGGTGGTTCAGGTGGCTTCATGCTGACAGCAGAACGCGGCGGTGCATCCGGCGACAGTGATATACACTTCAATGAATCTTTCGATATGAAACGTGCACCTCCTTTGCATCGACACGACACTAGCGAATCGTCTCGATATAGTTTCAGCACGGAATACAGCTCAGAATTAGAAGAAGTTTATGAACAGTTTTCTAGGTAAACCCATTGAATAATGATAAGAATTATGCGAGATTGGTGACTACTCCAATGTTACATAAAAGTATCAGCAAAATATTTTTAGAACTGATGTTCGTTTAATTAGATTGTGATATGTCCTTTACCCAGGTGGCTCGAAGACCCTATATTCGAATCCAAGTCTAAGAAACCACGAGAGCTGGACGCTCGAGATCTGGCGGTGGTCAGGTTTGCCGGATCTTTATTAAAACGAACACTTAGCGAATCATTTGCTGGAGTTCCTTTAACGGAAGGATGCGTCAACAGCACCGGAATTGCGGCAGAAAATTCTTCGATCGTAGAATACAACAGGCGAAAGAACCAAATAGCGGTTACCGCGCGGTCGCTGAGTTTAGAGTTGGCGAGGCACAAACACCGATTGGCGGCACAATTGGTAAGTTTCAGACTCATAATGGATAATAAATGTATTTTAGGTAATGTAAGGTGTTGAATGTTTTGGACATCGGTTCTGGTTTTACAGGTCTGTTAAAATAACTTTGGCTAAAAATTTATTACTCAGAATTAAATTTCAAACCTGCAAAAGTTCTAATAATTCTTTTCCTTCATTATGACCAATAACCAATATGGGTCAACATAATATTTTTACTCTTACTACACATTTAGTTAATATTTAGATGCAGACAGAAAAATATTTTTTAAAGTTCATTTCCGTGTTACGGTTTACTCGAAAAAGTTTCTTCGAACGACCCACAGAACCTAAAGTGCTACTAGACATTTTTTCAACTCCATACATTTGACCAATAAAATCAATTATATAATATTCACATTATATTAAAAAATATAACTGTTAATAAATATCTCAGAATTCTGTTCAACTGGCCTTAAAAATATTGAATTAACTAACAGTAGTATATCACATGAATAATAAAAATTATTTATAAATTACCACTAACCTCAAATACTGCTGAAGAGAATCACTGTATAAATTACCATAGACCGAGATCGATGAAAATGAAAATTTAACGGATTCGAACGAAGATAAACAATCAGTATTGAGCTATAGTACTGGTTCACTGCCTTCTGATGCTAGTATAGAAACAATAATTCACAACTGTGCACAAATCACAAATTCTTCAGACACAAATGTGCCAAATAAACGTAAACTTAAATGGGCGGTCACAGTCATAGAGGCGATGGAACAAACACTAGCCAGCGAAAATGTAGTATTGTCACTTCCAAAATCTAAGGTAATACTGATAATCCGTTGTATATTTCGGCAGTGTTGAATTGTGCTTCTATCGGAATGCCTTCTATTATCATTTCTACAAAACAACAGGAATAAAACAAGTACTTATCTTGATAAAATTTCAACGACCAAATTCAAATTACATAACAAAAACCTTTTAAGAACTGGTATTTTTGCTTGTGTCTGCGTCATGTTCGCATGCTGTAAATATTTACATAATGCTTTTTGTTTATCTTGTAAATACTAGTTTTGAATCCGTTTAATTTTCAAATGATTTCTGTCTTTTGTGTAATAATTGTCCTTTTAGACACCTCAAAAATTGAGGCAATTGTATGTTTTGATAGAACAAACTCTAATACTTACGTAGTATCATAATTTCAACAATTGTATATACTTATATAGCATTTTCGGAATGATATAAATATATTATTAACAATAATACTAATATTATAATGAATAATAAAATAGTAATAATATCCTAAGATAAGTGAATTATGAAAAAAAGATCCGAAACGAAATATAGATTTCAAACATCCGACATGATAAATCCCAAGATGATGATGTTTTCTAATACATTTTTTTTCTACAGATATCCGAAATAGCTCATAAACGTCACAACAAAGGGGGCCTCAAATCGATATCAACTGGAAATTGGGGCTGCGGAAAGTCTCATGCAGGTGACCCCCAATTAAAACTTATTATTCAATGGTTAGCCGCCAGTGTAGCCGGAGTACCGACGCTTATTTATTACACAAATGGACATGAAAGTCTAGCTAAAGTAAGCGATTTAATTAAATAAGCATAAATTATAATTTACATTACACAATTTAAAATTATTTTCAGTTGGATACCTTATGCCGAGTGCTGGTCGATCGAAAATGGACCGTCGGCGAATTAGTTTCGGAAACATTAGGATATTCTCAAGCCCTTCTATTAAAACACCAAACTAACAGTGAAGTACATTTAAAGACATTATTTGAAACGTTAATTTCTGGTATTTAGCATTAGCTGATCACAACAGAATTCAAAATTCGATTGTGAAAACCTTAATTAACGAAAACAAGTGTTGTGACACCGATAATAATAATAAAAAACATAGACTTCCTTTAGATTTAACGACTTTTGTATATAGCTTTAGATCACATAAGCAATTATCAATATTCGCAGGTTGTTAATTATTATAAATATTTAATACATAATCAAAAGCTTTAAAGCAACTGTAATAATATCAAAGCATTAATTTTAAACTCATACTTTATAATAAAAAATTATCGAATAGTTAAGACTGTAAAAATTTAATTTGATGCAAATTGTAATAATATATATTTATATATAATAAGATTTAACTTAGAACATCAAACAAATTTTGAATAAACCTTTATATAAGTCTACAAGTAATCTAGTTTTGTAACTACTCTTTAATATGACGTGTGGATTGTTATTTATAAATAAATAAAAAATGAATTATGCTTATAAATTAATTTGCTTTTAAATATTCATCTGTGACAAAATTTAGTAAACCTCAAACTAAGTATATTACATTACATTAGAAATACTATGAGGGCTAGTGATTCAAACAAATTTTCAATAATATTACATACTTTATTGAAAATAATATAAAATATTAAATAATCACAAATAAAAACAATGAGCTTCAGAAAAATAACCCTCGCATTCGCCGGCCCATTGCTTGTCTGTCATATAACATATTAAACTTATTTACAAGCTGGTTTATGTCATTTGTGCCTTTAGTAATCGCTCCCAAATAAGTCACAAGCCCAACATCATTGCATTGCTATAAACAATAATTAGGTAACAATTTCTTGAATAAATATTTGTTTATATATAAAAAAAAATATTTCTCGTTTTGCACATACAATTTGGAGCCAATTTTTTACTTACATTATAAAATTCATGTCTAAATGATTCACTCTGCAGAACTGGCAGTCGATGGCTTAGGCAATAAGCATCTCGTAATATATCATGGCTGGCAGTTCTTCTACCGCTCTCTACTTCTCTCATAAATTCCAGAACAAGACGTACTCTTGAATGCAGCATCTTAATTGCAGAGTATTGTGCTGTCAAATGCTCAGCAACTAAATAAGATACATATATGTAACAAACATATTGACTCATGCCTAGTAAGACTACTATATGAAATATTAGGAATTATGTTCTTTTACCCAATGAATTTTCTCCTGCTTCATTACTAGACATTCTAGCTACGTGATCAACACCAATTCTTTCAGCCTCTTCTGTAGCTAAGGTGTATGTGAGTGGTACAAATAACATTGTTGCTTCTCCGCCTACTAAATCTATGATTGATTCAAATAATGATATAGGAAGTTGCTGCAAAATATAATAAATATTACAGATCTTAATAATATAAACATAAACAAAAGGAAAACTTGCATGAATCTTATTGGAAAGAGGTAAGTCATATTATTTATTCTCCTTTAACGAAGTAAGTATATACTAACATCCATGTTCCTGGATAAAGGGTTCAATTGCAACATTATCGGGCACTCATTTATTTCGCAAATTTGTTTATGTATCTTCAAATCCTTTTCAGATGGGCTCTCATTTGTTGTGTACCAACCGAGGAAATCCATATCACTAAATACCTGTTTAACTATATAAATGTTTACAAATAAATAATGCAAAGTTATAAATAGAGTTAAAATAAGGTCTTACATTGTTCTTCTTTAGTCTTATAATATTCTCTATCTATAACAATATCTTCATCGATGACTGTGAACATAAGTTCAAATGAGTTCATAACTTCTATATTCCTTCCTTTCTGTTTGCCTATTAATGCTCCAATAACTGAAATATTAATGATAACGTTCTATACCGAACTTCTAACATTTTACATACCATATTAGGTACATTTTGTATTGAGAAATTTGATAAATTTCAGGAAGACGGTCATCATAAAGAAATCAATAAATGAAAGGAATGAGTCAAGAAAAACCGACGAGTTTAAAGTAAAATTGAACATCTATATCAAAGTATTCCTAGATGTCTGTAAGTATGTATGTAACATTGTTTCTTTATTACCTTGTTGTGGAGAACCCTCCTGAGCTCGACGTCTTGTCCAATGTTCTGATACATTCATAATTACTAATGGATGAAGGGAAACTGTTACTGATGGTATTGTACCAGCAGTAGCCATCACAGCCTTTCCGGTACTAATTGAATTATTTATTTCCACTGGCACTTTTACACTAGAACTACTTCCAGCGGCTACTTCTACTTCCATCGCACTATCAGATTCTTTAGGAGCACTCATATTTATAAATGTCTAGAAATATAAAATAACAATGTTAAGCAAACTCTAAGCAATTATGGGAATGATAAATAACTAAACACAAACCGAATCAATTCCTTAACCCTTAATTCCTTATCTATGCCTTAACCTATCACAATGCAAACTGACATTTGTAACATAAATGGCCGACAAATAGAAAATTTGACAGATCGACGTTCCAGAATTGGTAACCATGTCTAGACAATATCAGATATATTCATGGCGTTCATGGTGACACTGTTTCCGCCATAGATAAATAAGCAGTTTCCGTCATAGGAGCAATTTTAAAATTCCTCAAGCATTTCAATTCATTATATTGTCTCAATTTTATAATCATATTCTTAACTCCAGTAGTTAAGAATCGCCTTAAGGCAAACTGCTGGAACTTCCCGTTTCAGAACTGAATATTCAAGCAAAAAAATAATAATCAATAAATATTTTAAAAAAAATCTGAAAATTTTGAAATTTGTTTGAACCGAATAAGTAAACTTTAGAAATTAAAAATCTAGGTACGGAACCCCAAAAAAAATGTCACAAAATTGGTTTTTATTATAAAAATATCTATAATAATTTGATGTGCATATGTCTAATGATCATTTTAGCGGCTGGACCTGTCTTTGCCAAAAGCTAATCAGCACGTCTCCTTATCAGTAGAAATCAAATGTTTTTTTTAATCATTCAAGTCGGTTAATCCATGCGCCCGAAATCGTGGACGAAAAATTGTATCCAAACATACACGCACACACAAATACATCCATTTTTTCTAAGGTATGCCAAAATGTTCAGAAACCTTTGAAACGTAAAGATATGCAAAAATTTTAGAAGTTAATTGAAAAGCTTTGTATAAATTATTTAGTTTAATTTATACAATTTTAATTAATTTACACTATTTGTAGTGCAACTAGAAAAAAAATTGCTAAACACCATATATACTTGTATTCATAAATTTAATTATTAAAATATAAAAAATACTGTTCGTACATAAAAATTATAATATTATGATATATTATGAAGTATCATATACAGTTATTGTCTCCTCCTGAATCATTTTCTTTCTAAGTTAATCTGCTTATTTAATTATATTAATTCGAAGTTCACCAATCTGGTTCAATAATAGTGCAATGTAGTCTTGGTGAAGGTTTTAAAATACTAGCAATGATCAAGGGAGGAGGTCGAACTTCTACGGCTGAAAATATGTGAAAACTAATTAATTTTTGTAACTAATATACATAATTTGATAGCACATGTTTAATATGCATTAATTTAAAAATTCCAGAAAAAATGGATAATATTTAAATGCAAACGTTTGTATCAAAGTATAAAGTTATATGAGAATGAGGATGAGAGTGCATTTTTTTGTACTAACCAATGGCTGAAGGAAGGATGTGTGTTCGATAAAGAAAGTACAAAAGATGGGAACACGCCCATAACACAAAAACTAGAAACCTATTTGTTTTTTTAATAAGTTTATTTCTTCTTAAAGGCCATTCGAAAATTAGTCCGCCTTGTCTTGGTTTGTGTATGTTTGTAACTTTAGCAGCAGAAAGGTAGGAAGGTGGATATATCCGGCGTCTACAAAATCAATTTAAAAATCAATAAACAAAACTAATATAAAAGGAAAAAAACATAATGGCTTTGTCTGCCTTTTCCTCAAACTTTATGCATAAAAATACAAATTGCTTACCTACAATGCTTGAACACTGGAACATTTTCATCTAAATGTACTGGCAATGATTGGCAATATTGTAAAAATGCTGCAGGTTGTACTTCTCTAGCATTTGCGTGACGCCTGCAAAAATATTTTAAATCAGAAATGACATAAAGTTTATATTATTATAATAATTTAATTATTATAATAATTCATTAATATTTGTTTCAATACATACCTAGCTGATGCAGGATTCGATATTCCTGTTTGGGATGATCTAGTCATATCCAATAATTCCATATTGGTTCATCCCCATAATTCACAATTAATTTAGAATAATTAATTTAAATACAATTTAAGTTAATTTAAATATATGAAAAAACTATAAAATACTATGGATTTAATTAAAAACATGACAATATATTTTGTTTTAGATACAAGCAAGCTGAACATACGTATATAATTTCATTAATAAAACATGAATATTTTATAAATAATTTTATTGAGTACACTGTACACAATCATATTTTTATGAGAGATGCAATCACTTTCGAAATATAATCTCTACCTTAATCTTTGCATGAATTTTTTTTTTTATGTACAATTCAGTTTTGATAATTCAACATGAATAAACACTTACAATGTTTTCTGCGATCAATCATTCCGTAGAAAACATTCCAAACCAAATGTTGGCTGCAAAGCATTTGACCTATCAATTTCATAAATTACAATTACAAAAAATAATTTCTGATTTTCTGTTACTCAATTAAAATTTAAACAAAAAAAAATTAGTTCTTAAACTATGAAAGAATAAGTATATTTTAAGAACTAAATAAAAAAAAAAAAACAGTTGATTATGTAGTCTAACAAAGTACATTTAAAATAAATAAAAGCATTTTAGTAATACATAATAGGTATCATTTTCTTTTATTAAGAAACATTGTATTGATTTAAAGTGTAAAGAGGACTAGCGTTCATAATTCAACTAATATAAATATGGATTAATATTATTAGAAAAAACAAACACTGAAGTCATTAAATAAATCTAACATAATAGTATATCAAAATATTGTTTGGTATAACTTGCAATAACCCTCTAAAAATATGAACATATGCATTTGTTAATGCTTGTTTAGTCTAATGTTTTGTATATGCATGCATGCATTTTTACATGAACACAAGTATAAAAACACTTGATGGCTTCTTTGCCATTTGGAAATATTATCTTCTAAAGCATACATTACAAAATGGGCACTTTTTCAAAAAGCTAACATCCTTTGATGCATCACAATGGATTAAATTATTAGATAAGCTAGCTTTTCATAAAATTAAGAAGTCTTGCAATTTGAAATAAACAATTTGTTCAGCCTGTAGGATCATTTCTGCTTGGGACATTAGTAATATTTAAAGCTACTATAAAACAAAATGAAATACAAACATAATCAAAAGGTTCAAATATTACTAGTATCAACAAATAACAGCAAATGTTTATTTAGAATATTGTAAAAATAAAAAACATGTCGCTAACAAATTGAAAAGTAAAAGATTTTAATGTACAATTAAATAATAAAGCACCAAATTGTACATATGTGCCTTTTTTTTTCAAATTATGATTAATTTGTTTTAAAAAGTTGACAAAAATTAGTTGGTAGTAATTATATAGATATAGATTTATATATATATTTATAAAACTTAAATAAAAAATGTCAATGCAGAAATAAATATAAAACACCACCAATCCGCTCTTGACATATGACAAGTTTCTACATTATTAACAAATGAACCATCTAATGTTAACAAGCAAATGACAGAATTGGTTCAAAGAGAATTATTTTTTTCTGATCGAACAATATCAACTCTGACGTTTACTCAGAAATCACGTCTTATGTATATCACATGATTAGATTCCTAAATATAGATTTATGCAGTGCCAATTGCTTGAAATCTTATGTTTTAGACTCTTCATGTGATATTTCAGTAAGTGTAGTCGCCCTTAATTCTTCTACAATCAAAGCAGTTATGTCACTGTTTGCATCTTCATCTTGACTTTCCTACAAAATAATATACAAATATAATACACATATACAGTTTAAAACAATAAAGATAATCAATTACTTACTTGACTTATTTTTTTCCCTCTTAATAAATGATTAGCTAGTGTTGAGACTTCCCTGCAATAATTATGTCATTTAAAATTATAAATATTTGTATAGAGCATCGAATGTTACAACTTACATCTCCCTATTTTCTATTTCAGGAAAAACTTGATTTTCAATACTATTTTCTAGATCTTCTGCCTGAGAATTTATTACTGGTATTTCTTCCTCACTAGTATCAAATGTGACATGAGTCGTTGCAGGCCTATTCTCTTTGGATTTCATAGCAGATCCCGGCGAAACTGCAGCCTTTTAAATTAGTTTAATTTCAATATTTAAACTAGTTATAAGAGGCATTATTTTCGGATATGTTTTTTACAAAAGAATAAACATCTCCTTCGGTAAGTTAATAAAATATGTAAAAAATGTTATGTTAAACAATTGCAAAAAAAAATCTAATTTTTTATAAATAAAATATCACAAGATTTATATGCATCAATGGAACCTATACCGATTTTTGCAAAATGAATAATATAATTGTTGCTTAAAAAAATTTAAAATCTGCTTTATCTGAAACATTGTTAACAAATTACCTCCACTGAATCATTACTATCGGTATTAGATTGTGGACCCACATTCTGCAGGACTTGGCTAAATGTAACCGACTGACTAGCTTTAATTGTGCCACTTGTGCCACTTGTGCCAGGAATGCATTCAGTTGATGACACTACATCTGGTTTTGCACAAACCGAATAGTCTTTAACTGGACTCAGTGCAGGCATGCTCTGACTGGCAGTAGGAGAATGATGCATAGCCTCAGCTGTTACAATCCCGCTGCTGCCACTAATCGCTCCACTGCTAGCACTGATGGCTCCACTGCTCACACTGCCGCCTCCACTGCTACCTGTCACGTTGGTGTGAGGAGATGAGGTGGAAGTTACAGTTTGGTCATCATTTCCTTCTGTTTCATGCTCACTTCCATCTTCAGGATCCTTGGAATCAAATTTAATTACAATTAAATATTCTTTACAATATTTTGTGGAACATGTTATCTTGTAAAATATAAAACTTAGTAACTTATTACCTCAGTAGGGCACAACTCAAATGCACGCTTCAAGACATTCCTTGCTGAAGGTGATCTTTCCAAGAAATATCCACTCATCGAATCATTGCTATGTGCTGGAGGACTCCATGTATTGTAACTGGGATATCTCTGATAAATTATAAAAATATTATATTAAAAAAAAATTATATATAAAATAATATTCTATTTTTTTAGTTAAATTAGAGTCTTACCCTTTCAAGTTCATCATGCAGCCATTCTACGGCACTAACCCACCTCCTAGTGAGATCTGCATTGCTATGCAGCAGTGCCAAAGCAACACGTGATCTCGTAAACAAATTTACTAAACATTTTATACAATGGTATGCTCTTTTCTGATAATGTGTTTTAGAACGTTGAATTGTATCTAACAACCCTTCTCGTTCCTCTTGTACACCTTCAAAAAAAGTACAAATTTGATTAGAAAAATATATAATAAATACAAGCATGTATAAGAATAAAACTTACCCATTATAGCATTATGTATTCTATGGCTCTGCCATGAATCTTCTATAAGTAATAATCCTAAAAGCAGATCTGTATTATGCCTCAATTCATGGCAATATGCATAAGCAACCTGTAAGAAAAACATCAAAATTAAAGTAGTGTATGAAATACAAAAAACAAACCTTGCACCTATTTATTTTTGAAAAAAAATTTAAACATACCTGCCAAAGTAACTCGGTTAGAACAGCTCTTGAAAAATGTGGATTTTCCCAACTGCAATATTGTAATAATCTCAAACCATCATCCCCAAGAGAAGAATCTTCTATAAGTTTCTTTAAATAGCTGCAAAAAGTTCAAGATTCACTTATTGAAATTGATGAGAATATTTTATAACAGTGATAGATGCTGCAATATTGCTTTTACCTATTTCTTCCAAATAGGATTTCACTAGCCATTGGCTCCAATGGAATTAATGGATCCGGCACTTCCCCATAAGGATTTGGTAATACAGTTGCACCTTGCGCAGCATTGGCACTGTGGGTTCTATTTGACACATCACAGCACCTGACTAATATTGCTACGACCTACAGCAGACAATAATAATTGTTAACTCAAAAAATAATTCTATCAGTTATTAAAGATTTAAGAAATAATTATTTAATTTATTACCTGATGCAATTTTGTAAATTCAGGATACATGTATTTAATGGCAGGCCCAGGACCTTCATCAATGGCAACTTGCATGAACAAAGCTGGCACATTTAACTGGAATGATTATTATAAAATAAAATAAATTAAGCATCTAATAAATACTTAATAAATCCATAATTGAAAGAAGACGAGATTTTGTTTAAAGATAAATATTTACCTGTAATAATTGACTTCTTTCTGGTGGGCCTAGAGAACTGTACATGTGGAACAAAGTAAAAAAATGAGGCAAATGCTTTCCATGTTCACTGATATCAGTTTGAAGTAGAGACAAAACTGCGATTATTAGTTGTTCACTAAGAGTACTTCCTTCTAAACCTTTATTTAACAAAACATGTAAAACATTAATAAATCAAATAGTGAAATCATTTGCCAAAAATTATGTTATTTTTATTTCTATTAATAACATACCAGTAGTTAAAGGTGAATCTTCTTTACTGAAGTGCGCCAGAAAAACGATAATTTTCATAAGAGCACCACGAACTTCTGCCGATGGCGCAGCGAGCAAATATTCAGCAATACGTGATCGAGACTCCAGCAGACCGTGCCACGCAAACCAGGCCCGCACCATACCAGAGTACCTCAAGTGCGGAGATATCGCTTCATACCTGTAATTAATTATTTGAATTAAAAATCAAAAATAATTAGTAAGATTATTTATTAGTATTTTGACAACTCACCATTCACAAGCTGATCCACGCAATGATTTTTTAGTTTTTATACCAGAGTGAAATAAAAATCTTGTTGCAAGTTGTATAGATAATAAAGATAATTCTTCCATAGACGGAGACTAACATGAAATAAAGAACTCATTGTTACACATAATATATTATAGTATTAGAAATAATTATAAAACTTACCAGTTTTTCCCTAGGAGTATTACAGGCAACAAGTTTCCTAATAAACGTAAAATATTCCACAGAGTACATATTTCTTGAGTGTAAAAATTTAATATTTTGAATTCTAACACTTCTTTCAATTGCTGGCGGCATTTTCAAAATACCCCTTCCACTTTCAGCTGATAAATAACATTATATATATTTACGAAATTTAATAAATTAAAAAAAATATATATATATTACCTAGTGATAGCTGTTCGACACATTTCTCAACAACTGGTATTGGCTGATCGCATCTTGTATAGAAAAGCATGTAAGCATTCCACCAACGTTTTTGACGTCTGTACTGCATTCTTTTTAGCATATGGTCAAATATCTGAAAAAATTTATTTTATAAATTAGTTTCATAAATAAAATCTGGTAGTCCTAATCAAAATAGCACTAACCTCGCCCATATAATCACCACCAAAGCATTGTACTTTCATTTCTTCATCTTCGTCCATTTTACACTCTGTCACGTCACCATCATCAAATTTATACCATAATCCACTTTCTCTGAATTTTTAAGAAAGTATAAATTTAAAACAGTCGTATATAAGAATTATACATTGCAAATATATTTTTATTAGAATATCCAGAATATTATTTCATAAAAATACAATAATTTAAAATCCTAAAATAATTGCAAATAGTAAATTTGGAATTTTTGAAATTATATTGATCAACTACAGTTTAAATATGGAAACATAATACAATATCTGTTCAGCCTTAGTTAAGAAAATTATTTTGAAAAACGGAAATACAATATACACAAAACAAATTAGCAAATCCAATTTTTTCGCGAAAACATAAACTTCTCCTTCGGAAAGTTAATAATTTCAAATTACCTGTGAAGTATATAGCTGTAATAATGTCCTCCAGAAGCCTGCCCAGAGTGTACAACTATTCCTGATAAATGATATTTAGTTTCCGTAGAGCTTCCATTTTTATTTTCAGGTTTATTATTATCATTATCGTCATTAGAATTATTCATTGCGTCAGTATTTGAATCATTATTATTGGTCAAAGTAGGATTAGGATTTTGAATATCTTCACATTCTACATCTATAACTTCGCCTTCTACCCGGGCGAGACCAGACACTGGAACAAATATAGTTTCTCTTATAATTTACAAATATGATATAGTTCAAACCTGTCATCATAACTACTTACCAGTGTATGGTTCCATGTCCAATTCTCGTGGAAATTCAAAATAATCATTAAATTTTATGGCACAAACACGTTCAAAATCATACTCAAATCTTTTTAATTGAATTGCTAACACTGGAGGAAGTTTACGAACACACAAACGTTTAACAGTCACTACCTGAATAATATGTATATTATTAGGCAAAGTGCAAAAATATATGTTACAAATCAAAGTTTATATCAATTTACTTTTTTATCACACTTATCACAGTGGTAGGCATCAGCTCCTTCTAATAATTCCCCTTTTACATATTGCTCCAGAGAGTCTGCAAGTGAACTATGATTACGTATATCAACACTTATTACGCTAAATGGTTCCTCCTTGGAGTACCTGGAATAAAAACAAATTTTAGATAAATTCAATATTATTACATACATATTTAAAATCCCGAAACTTTTGTGAGATATTTTAAAACAATATAACAAAATGTTAAACCTACCTATGTGGACATTCTCTACAAATTTTTTGATCACTATAAGAACCCCCTAAAGTAGCACCCATCAATTGCGGATGTCCTAATCCTTTTAAACCCTCATCTAAACTTTCTACAAGAGACATAAAAAATTCAACAGCATCTTGTTGTTCTCTTAGATTCACAGGCTCTCCTTGCAATCTAATATATTTTTACAATATTTTAGAATATTCAATTATTAGAAATGTTTATAGCATGAAAGAAATATTATTCTCACTTGAAATGGCTCCATAGACCCCGGGGTACATAGAATTGAAGATGACTATGTGCCAAATGAGCAAAAATGGCTTGAACATGTTTCAGAATTCCCACATGGTAATTTATTCGTTCTGAATTGTCTGGTTGATTCTAAAAATGAAGTACATAAGTCATATTAATTAAAATTAATAGTTTACACTGATTTAATATTTGGTTAACTGATTAATTATTTTTTATTTCAACTTACCGATTGAATTAAAAGGTCATCACGTTCTTCTCCACTGAAGTCTTCCGAGTTGTCAGTTGCTGCCCCCATGGAGCTGAGTAAACCGCTTCGGATAGTATGCACCATGTACAACTGTTGCAACACGCTGTTCATGTAGCAAGTTGCACCAGCATTCTTCAAACCACAAAAGCCTTGAGGAGGCCTTGGACCGACCGGGGCATATACTCCCATTCTCGCAAAGGTTCAGTATCTGGAGAGAATATAAGAATTTATACCACATACACATTAAATAAAATTGGTAATACTAGGCTATAAACAAAAAATGTATAAAAAAAATAGTTGTAAGAGGCATTTTCCAAAAAAACTTTACATTGAATTACGAAGAAACGACCCGGCCGATTATCGCACTTCTTCAGAAAGTTAATAAACAACTTAACCAGATATATGTTGTTTACCTGAATAAAACATGTTTGTCATCATATTAACTAATTCTTTAAGATTCCGACTTGAGCCAGTGCATAGAGCTACGAGTAAATCACAAGCGGCTGCTACAGTTTGTGGTGAACGACACACAGGTGCTGGAACAGTGCCCCAGGTACTACCACCAGCATCTATTTGACCACCCCGCACCAATTCTAAGTGCAATTTTGATGCAGGAAAAAGAAAATCTTCTACTAGTTCCTTAAAAACAAATTAAGACAATATGAATTATTATAATTCGATAACTTAATCATTGAATTTGGAACAATCATTTTTAAATAATATAGAATATAATAATAAACTTTAAGACTTTGGTGCTGTAATACTTTAGTAGTATCCATTCTTTTTAATGAAAATGCAGTTTTCTAAAGAATTACCTTTATAAGAAATATTGATGAAGATTCACCACACCCTAACTCTGATTTATCATCTGGTGTTAGAAAAGAAAGCAGCTCTTTAACTAAACATAGGTGGCCCTCCAATAATGCTTCATGTACCTAAATTCAAATATAACATAAAAATTTAATAAAAACCAGTATCAATTTTGCAAACCAACCTGTAGATCTCCAGAATTTATCACGTTTTCTCTGACTAGTTTTAACCAGGATATCTCTTTACTTAACAATTCAGATGCTACATTCATTGGCCAACTTGAACTGTGTGCATAATTTAACAATCTGCAAATAAGCTGAAAAAATCAAAGTATAACACTTTGTAAACTTAGCGATCTATTGATTAATAAATTTATTGTTACAATTTTACCATGAAGTACTCCTGACTTTGATGAGCATATTGAAGTGTTTCAGTTTTTAAAACACTTATTAATAATGTGATGATAAAATCTAACGGTTGTCTATCTGTAGAGCACCATGTGGATATCAGAAGCAATTGTTCAGCTGCAGTTTGTCTGACTTGTTTCGATTCTGATACTAATACTAAATTTATAATAAAATCTGACCAAAATGGTTCATTCATCAAGGTATCATGAGCTGATGGATTCAACACCACACTGACAGTCAAAACTTCCAATGCCTCTCTACAAACTAGGAAAAAAACATTATTACAAATTTATTCAAAATGTAAAAGAAATGTAGATGATTGTCAATATTTTATACCTTGAATATCTTGATCATCAGGCAGAGTGTTTTCCTTCCCAAGATCTTGACCAGAACTAAGTAAATGCAAAGAACCAGTGCTGGCTGCCCAGGCCATTCGAATAATGGTCCGTATGGTATTTAAATCAGGAAGCTGCCATTGAAGTGCTGAACCAAATAACATTCTGTAATGCTCTCCTTCATTATCTGCCATTAACATCTGTACAATATTTTACTGTTAGTCCAATACAAAAATCAATATCGTTTCAAAAGTTGTGTTTATAAATATTACCTTTTCAGATAAGGTTTGAGAAATTTTTGTCGCTACACTCCTAAGTAATTGTTCTGCCTGTTGAGAAGAAACTGAATGGATAGCTTGCTTAAGCATTGCAATATGTGATCTAAATAACATTGTTAATATTAATCATTTTGAAATGTAAATGGCAATTATGTAATAAAGCACAATTATAATGTGAAGTACCTAGAATTTGATGAATTTACATCAACACTGGTATGAGGTGGTTCATCACCAACTCTGCATAAAACACTACCAACAATATTGAAGAAGAATTTTGTTAAACGTAGCACACACAAATATGCAGCCCTGTAAAAAAATATGAAATAAAATTTTGTAGAAGAACAAAATAGTAACTAACATACCTTTTCATATGCGTATCAACAGTTCCTGCCATAAAGTTATTTTTTGTGAATAGTTCTACAAGCATATGAGCGACACCAGATCTTACCCATGCTTGTTGTACTTCATAAGCAGCATCACCCAAAGGTTCTAGAGACGGTAATAATACAGCCTGGAGAACCTACAAATTCAATTTAGTAAATTTTTAATATCTAATCATTTTAATGCACTAAAATATTTTATAACATTCAACATGTATTACATTGGATATTACAAACCCAAAAATTGATTTTTGAAAAATTCTATAAAATATATTATGATAAATGTCTTACCTCTAGATGATATAATATTTGAGCTACTCCTCCTTTAAAAAACATGTTCCCAAAGTTTGGTTTTTCAGTAATTTCCTGCATCGGAACATCTAGACCACACATAGATTGTAATTTAACTATCTGAAAATATGTATAATGAATTGTTTTAAACGAATTTCGATTAAAATATACTATAACCTGGTCTTATAAATTATAGTTACTTACAGTGATAAGATCAGGTGGTACTAAATGTAAAAGTTTTCTAGCAGAATCCCGAAGTCGTGAATGACATAACACTACACCCAACTCAGATAATTGTAGAAAAAAGACTGCATATTGATTTTTTTTCGATATAATCTAGAAAAGAAGAAAATTTTATATGAAATATAAATAGAAATAATATTTTTTATTGTTAGAAATAAGAATGATTTGAAATAAATAATATCAATAATTACCACTCCAGGTAAATTAACTTCAATATCAAGTCTAGGTTGATCAGGCCCTGGTCTCGGTGGCGAACCAGTACTGCTATCGCTGCTGCTGTCTGGTGAACTTGCCATTCCAGTACCCGCTTGTGATAATTTTCCAGTTAAATACTGCAATAAACAACATGGTGTAAACATAATAAATCAATTGATAAAATCATTACTGAATAATAAATTTATTACAGTTTTATCTCTTATAGCAGTTTGTATAATTGTCTGCCTATCATTATTCACATCTAAAGGTTCTCCATTCAAAAATAACTCTAGCTTAACCGTTGAGGCAGAAGCCTTGATCCTAAAAGTTAATATTATTTATATAAACATATAATACATAAATAATCAAATAGAATTAAATGTTTAATTTAATTACCTTCTTAGTACTTGTCTTCTTAAAGAAGATACCGTATCATTACTATGAGTATAAATTTCAATATCATCCACAGGTCTTCCAGGATTTTGAAACCTCACAAATAGTGTCATATGTTTACCTCTGCAAGCTCTAAAAATAGTATTTAAATATTACAGATTTAGACATATATACAGAAAAGTATAAATCCAAGTAATAAAATTCATTTACTACCTATGTAAAGGCAATATTCTCCTTTCAAAAATGAAACCTTGATCACATTGTATAACATATTCTTGAATGACTTTCAAAACTCTGCACATTCGATCAGCCTCCTTGTTTAATTTAGCTATTATTAAAGCACGATCAGAATCCACTTTTTCTTAAATTATATCAAACATTAAATTGAGACAATATATATATATATATATATATATATATATATATATATATGTGTGTGCAGGTGTAAATAAACTTAATTATCATGGGAAAAATCAAAACTCACCTGTTTTAAGAGATGTTAGCATTAAAACTGTATCATAATGAGTCTTGAGTCGTTCACAACATTCCCCTATAAATGTTCTATGGTAACTAGCTTGAGAATCTTGTAGTCTTGGACCTAAAGATGTAGTTACTTCCTTCAATAATTCTATTGCTCTATTAGCTATATCCTCCGCACTGCATGTAATAACCTATGCAACAATTAAACAATAAATATTGCATTAATATTGCATAATAAAATCAGGTAATTATATTTACCCTCCACAAGTAGTCTGATCCTATAAGTTCAACATCATCTAGAACAAATCCTCTACGCTTTGCTTTAAGCTTTCCTTCCTTTAAATTCACAGCCTTGAAGAATCGCTCAAAACACCTTAAAGTAAAAGCTAGTGAACAACAAAATTAAGCAATTAACAAAACATTGAAAACTAAATCTTTACTTTATTCCACTTTCTGATAAATATGTAGGATCCAATCGCAATAGGTTATTTTCGAAAAAGTCTCTATTTATTCCTGGATCAAGATCAGGTTCTTCACCCATCAGTTTTCCAAACCAACGAAAACATGCTTCGCGATCTGATGGAAAAACCGCTCCTTCTGCCAAACATTGCCATATTTGTTTGGCCTATAAACAAATCATAAAAGTCATATCAAATAATTATACTAAATTGCAAAAAATATGTAAATATATAATTTATACGTATGAAGTAAAAGAAAGTTTTAAATAAATTAGATACCTGATCAGCACAAAGCCATAATTGACCATCTTTAAGTAAAAACCTTAAGAAATTCAACCTTTCTTGAATTTGCAGTGGGTGATTATAACGTCCATCAGTTTTCAATTCATTTGGATCAATTTCATCATTTTCTACAAAAAACAATTTTTTAAAAAAATAATAATAAAAATTGAAATCAATTCACAGGTTTGAAAAAATATATAAATCATAAAGAAAAATAATTCTGATACATAAAAAATAGCAGTGTAAACAAGATTTTTATGAAATTCTATTGCAATTTAAATAAATTTACCATTAACTAATTCCCGAACATGATCCATATACCCAGTCAAACTATTAGTTACTAAAATGACCAGACTATGTTGATTCTGCAACCTGTCTATTACTTCTTGTCTGTGCAACAGTTGATGTTGTCTAGAGGTATGATTTGTAACATTAGTGCTAGGTTCATATAAACAACAGATATCCCGAATCAACTTTAAAGCCGGCAAGGTCCACAGATCCCCGCTTTTCAATTCATCCACGCATCTACAAAATAATGTTAGTTACAAATGTGTAAAGACATAGTTAATACTTGTTGTGCATTATGTAGCTTACTTATCCAACCACACAGTTTTCTGTGCATCCCGCTCTTGACTACAACTATAATCTAATATTTTTACATGTGCTGATAATGCTTGATCAAGAACTTCAGGAGACACTTCATCAGAATGAGCAAGTGTCCAAAATAACATAAGAACCTGAAATAATAATCACATGTAACACAAGTTAAACCTTTTAATTAAAGCTACTATTTTAAGTTATTTGCCTTATGTGCCATAACACCATCTTTATCATCTTCTGCTAACCTACGAATCAATTCAAGTAGACGTTCTCTTTGTTTTTTATTAGCAGTTGTCCAACTAGCCTGAAACATGCATTAAATAAATTATATTATGTATCACTCATATTTAAGCAGCCAATGCATCAAAAATAAATAAATAGTTCATATATAAATTATTATTATCAACTTTTAGCACAAACCTGGAAACATTCAAATAAATGATCTAATTGTTCTGCGCTAAAATCCCATGCTAATTTAGCTAGCAAATCATGAACATTTTTCACAATTGCTTCATGTTTTCCAACTTGTGCACTCCAAACCGCATCCAAATCAGTAAGCGTCAAACTATGCTCTTTTATTAAAAATCTCAAAATCTTTTCTAATTTCTCTACATATTGTGGTTGATGTAATGAATCTCTAAGTACAATATCCAGGACATTATTATCTTTAATCCAATTAGCCATAATGTCAGTAGTCAGCCAATCTAAGTCATCTTCAGATGTATGAACTCTGTGAGGATACGATGTGACAATTGATAGAACTTTATTGATTTCATTTAATGCATTCATTTTGCCATTAAAGCTTGATATTTGAAGAAGCCGCAGAATCATTTTTAAGCGAAACATTTCCAATTCTGTAATAAAAAAATAATTTTATAGATTCAGATATCATTATTGTCATAATATATGATAAAGGTAATCAAAACATTCTGTAAATTTCCATAAAAATATTGGCACCTTTAACTAATCCATCCTGTTTATTTAATCTTCTAGCTAAATTCCTAGCAGCACGAACAATTCCTCCTACGCAATCGTTTTTGCTTTCAAGTTTTGCTTCTTTTTTTAATTCATCATCAGATAAAGACTCCAAAATACTAGGCACTAATTCCTGAAATAGCAATAATTAAATTTAAAATATATAGCCAGTTTTCATTAGCAAATTAAAAATCCATCATTATCAGAAACAATTGTTCAGATACATATAAAAATTCATTATCTTTTTGCTTACCAATATTGGCATAAGGTACTTTGTGATAGTGTTAACAGTCAAAAGTTCATGGCATTGTCCAAATGGTTTGAGCAGTGCATGAACCACAGGTAACGTCAATCGGGCATTGTCCAAAGATAAATTATTTGCTAACGGGCTATTCGAGTTCATAGAACTAGTCAAATTCTCTGAGAGAAGACTGCTTGTATTCATAGAAGTTGCTGGAGCTGTAATACTTTGTTGCATATCAACTGGAGACGATGCTGGTGGAACTGCTAGCTCAGGAGTATTTGAAGTTTGCAAATTAGCAGGACCTAAATAAGATAGAAGTTAAAAAAAAGTTCTGTTATATTTTGTGTTCAAATCTCAAACTTTGCAACTAACCTATAGTTTCACTGGGAGAAATATGAGTACTTTTATTTGCTTCTAATTCACTAACTGGAAGGCTACTAGAATAATCGCTGGTGGGCAATGCTAGTTGATCAATATTAGGGGCAGGATTTGATTGATCACTGGATTGACTCATAACAGATGTGACTTGTGATAAAGGTTGCTGTATCAAACAAGCCCCTCGGTTGAAACGTTCTAACAGTGCATCAAAACCACCCATTTGACCAAACCTAAAAATTTGGTACTTAATTGTAATAGTAGTTTATAATAAATAAGTTATTTAACTATCATTAGAAAATAAAGAGTAAACACATATTGTTTAACTCACTTGTTGATGAGATCAACTAGCCAACCCCTTGGTGCCCTTGGGTCCCCACTAGGTTTTGCATAAATACCATTTGCTAAAGTGTCTTCAGTACACACCGCAGTTGAAGTTGAACCAATATATGATGAAGGTATGTTAGAGCCAGCACGTAAATGATTTGGGATAGTATCACTTGTCCTTGATGCATTGAAAGTGTGAAATCTATACAGAAATATTTTTCTTGATGAATATGGCTCTAAAGAGCTTTGATTAAATTTATAATGATCCAGTTATAATTTATAATTTTCCACACTTATATACTGAAATAATCAAAACTCACTTGTTATTGGGATTAAGAACCATTGCCAGTAAGTCTAATAAGGGAAACCAATCATGTGGCATTTTAATTATACACAATTCCAGCACTTTTATACATGATTGTAATATACAGTGATGAATATTATATTTCCATCCATTCACTGCTTCATCTGTTAATATTTTTGTAAATGAAATTGTGAGTCCTTCTCGAAAAAACCTCTGGCAGTGCTCTGATTCAGTATCACTTCCTAAAATCAAAATGTTTAGATACGTATATATGAAAAATCCATCTCTTCTCTGCCAGATCGTACCTGCTTTGCAAAGATCTATGGCAGCTTTTAATAAACACTCCAGTTCTTGTTCTGGAAGCACCGGAACAACCCATCTTGGATTTGAGATCTTTTCGTCAAGTATTTGCAATTTTCCAACAGGGAATGTTTCTGGTGTACATGGGGGAGACACCGGAACAACACTTAAGAATTAATAATAGATTAAGAACAATTTTATGCAATAAATTAGTGTTAGTTCAGTATATGACCATTTTACAACTAATAAGCAATGATGCAAAACATTACCTGTCACTTTCATTTGGAGGCTCTTCGAGGGGCTCCCCCGTACGCCCTCTCGTGGCTATGGTCATTTTAACTTATGTGGTAGTTAATTGAATAAACTAATCGTCACATTCTCTACAAAGAAAAAATACAAAACATATGCTAGAATATAAATACTATAAAAATATCACAAAGTACTTAAAAGCAAATAAGAACTTAATTTCAGGTATGTCATAAAAATGTTAATTTAAATATATTAAATTAAATAGTGGTTATAGTTTACATTGTGAAAAGTTGTGGCACTATACTTTGAAACATTTACCAATGTAAATAAAGCAGATAAGAAATAGCAATAACTATCAAATTTTGACAGTTGTCAAACACGCCCAAATCATATTCAACACTAGTGTATTATTATTGTATCAAATCCGTAAAATCTCGTCGTGTGTACAGAATTGCGCTCAAAAGTTTCCTTATCAATTATTCTTTCGATAATTCTTTCACAGAGCAGAACATCACAAATATATTCGACGACAGTAAATCTTACCAGACATTTATGATGATTGAATGCATAATTTTCATGTTTATTGAATAATACACTCGAAGTTAAGGTAGAAAATATAGTCATACAGCGCACTAACAGGTCGATAAAATTATTTTAGTAAATATATTGCTATAAAACGAGTTTTGATTATTAAAAATCAGCCGGCGAGACAAGATGGCTACCGCTAAAAATGAATTTCATTTCAAACATTCAACTTGTAAATATAACCAAATTAATTGATTTGATAGGATTGTCTTCACTGGCACTTAAACGTTTACACTCAATACGACAGGGTTATTAACTAACCTTGTAATTAAATATCGTTTTTTATGTAATTACATATATTGTGCAAATTCTGATATCGTTTGACATAAGAAAATGGAGATGGCGTATTGGCCTTCAGAAATCATTGCCAATTTTACAATATGCTTTCATAAATAAATTAGTTTCCAAATTATCATTCGACTGCTTTCCTCGCAATCTAGATTTAATAATACCTAAGGATTTTGCATATTATTTTATTATCTGCTCAAATATCGCACAATGTCATCATTTTCGTTCGACACGTAACGATATTGCTTTTGAATTAATTTACATGATGACGTTATTCGTGATTATTTACTTTTACTTTCTAAAGAAATCGCTACAAAAATAAAACAAAACACAAATGTCAACAGAAGAATTTGCAGTCATACTTTTTATATAACTTTATTTATTCGTTATTCAAAACAAATCTTATATTCAATTTGTAATTGATATAAATACAATATATAATATAAAAATTAATAATCAATATATTTATCACATAGACTATTTTATAATTTAATGTTATACGCTTCTTAGAAAATATTTTATCATCTTATAGCAGTATTACAGATATTTGTTATAATTTTCATAGTACAGATGTAAAACTTGTCAAAATCAGTATATTGCTAGATATAGACAATTGTCTATATATTAATTTATATATACATACATATATATATATATATATATATATATAATTTATATTAATATTATGCTTTATCAACAAATTACTCGGGCATGATGAATTTTCTTTATAGCTGACATTACAGTTTTCAGCATAGTCTATCGTTGACTGATATCGCTTAACTTATAGTATCATACAATATACTTAAGTATAAATTACAAAATATACTTGCCAAATTTGTGATCAAATATACAATAATATATAATAAATTATATACAATTTAAAAATAAAAAAAAGAATTGAGTAGATGTGATGTGAATGAGTATTTTTCAATCCAAAAGAGCACTGGACTACAATAAGGTCTAATCAAGAATAAAATGAAAAAGCGTTTCACAAATGATTTGATGAAGATTCATACACATCATACATATTTTTTTATAAAAATTTCTATTACATTTATATATGCAGAACAGTTATGCAAAATTAAAATTAAGAATATAAAATATTTTTAAAATAATTTTTTGAACAGCATTCAAGCTCTTACTCTTTTTATTTATTTTTTGTTAAGCATATTACATCTTTATTAAAAATATATTCAAGGCATCATTCCGCGGCACTTCATATAAGTAAGGTAATTAAATGCACGTAATTACAACAATGCAAAATCGAGTTGAATAATTTCAGTATGAAACTTTTGTATACATATCATGCTGAATTTATGTGTATAAGCTGTTCAAATTTCTCTACAATCTAATATGAGAATTACATTGAATTAGATATACATTATATTCAATACCAGTTATTTTAAAAAAAAATTGTTCTTAAAGTTTATGATGAAAAAGATATATGAATATTCTAAAGCATCGACGTAACTTCAGCTTACACTTAAGACATAATACTTGTAATTTTTACATTTAATTATTGAGATATTAAAGTTTGAGTAGCGTGACTAGAAACTATTCGGTAATAAAAAAATTGAGTAAAATATTTCTTGATGATAGCACACTTAATCCATTTAAAAATAAAGCTTCATAAAATAAATATTATAAAAAGGCAATATAAATATTATAACATCTATTAAAATGGCACAGCAGATGTCTGCAAGCAAAAGCTTTTTGGATACACATATTTAATAGTTTTAAAAACTACAGCAAATATAGCTGATATAATGTAAATGCTTTCTTTAAGTATTTGATAAAAATTATTTGTTTCGATGTTAAAATTAAGTTTTTCCAATTAATTTCTGTGCTTATATATATTTCTAAAGTTATTTAAAATTTCGATCAAATAATATAGTTTTATTAATATAATGTAAATATATTTATATCTATTTAAATGTTAATATAGTTTACCATGTACAATCTTTTATTAATCATCTGAATGATTTTTTTTTTCAGTTAAATAATTCTTCACGTTAAATTTATTTGAGTTAAACTATAGGACAATGTGAATTGAAAAATGTCATAAGATATTATTGTCTAACGAGCTAAATAATTGTCTTTTTTCATATAAACTTTTGCGTTATATAAAAAGTGTCTATAATTCATTTTAATTTTAGGCAAATTTGTTTGATCTGATTAAAATATTCTTATAACTCAATGAAATTTAAAATTTCCAGTGACAATCTTTCAAGAAAGATGTCAGAAGATAAGAAAGTTAAATTATGAAGACTTACCAAATTTTATTATCTTGGGAGATGATTCCTTTTACTTCAAAAATCTGTTTCACAGTACACAGGTTTGGAACTTCTGCAAGCTCCAATGGTGAAAGAAACAACAGTTGCATGATCTAACTTACCTGGTAAAGCTTTGAAAATATCCTTTTCTATCCACTCTTTCCTTTTAGATTTTTGTTGAGACCTAGTTAATTGCACCAATGCACCATTTTTTTCACAATAATACAATTCTTTCTCTTCCAGCATTTTACGTTTACCTGTAGTTATCATTCTTACAAAATCAATTAGCAATTTGCATAATGCTTTAGAAGTTGTGCAAGGTTTCAGCATGCCGTTTATACCAAAATTTAGTAAATCTGCAATCCTGAGTAATGTGAGATCATGCCTCTGTAAGCCATTTACTATTGGAAGTCCACTTTTCGAACGGGGTAAAGGAGTTAATTGTTTTTTTGGCACCTCATTATTTTCAGGTCCAGACATTGAACGGTTGTATGTTGGTCGAGATTCAGAAGTTTTTGTATTAGAAAATTTATTTCTAGGTTCTAAAGTTGTTTGAGATCTTGTGAATTTGGGACGGCAAGAAGGATCTATCGATACCACTTTCTTTTCGGAATCTTTTGAGCGGTTGTAAGTTCTTTTAGAACTCAATTCTGGCAGCCTATTTGAAACGTTTTTACCAATATTATCTTGTGGTATGCGATTTGTTCTATTACTTTGTGCTAAATTGGATTCTGCTCTTTTTTCTCTTGACTTAACAGAAACTGGATTAACAATTTGCTTTTTGTTTCCCACGGTTTGTCTAGATTTGGTGGTTGCTGAAGTTGAGGTTTGGGCATTTGGATACTCACTTTGCTGAGGCATGACAGGCATTGCCTCAGCAAAACGGCCAACTACAGGATCAAAATTATCACTTATTCCATCCGATGTTAGAAATACCAAATCACCAGGTTCAACAATAGTCATTGATAATGTTAAATTATTCAATTCTGGATTGGTTCCTATATTGAAGTTAAAGCATATTATTATAAAATTTGAGTAAAATAGCAATTAATATTTGTTTACCATTCACAGGCCCCAAAGCACCTAAAGCATCTCTCATATCTCGCATGGAATTAATATCATGAGAACCTATAAATGTGTTGATTATTTTTCTATACTCAGACATAATTACTTATCTATATGTTTGAGTTAATTTTATCGTACCTTGTGTTATTTCTCTTACACCATATACATGTGAATATACATAAGCTAATGAGTCACCAACATTACACACGCAAACTACAGATCGTCCATTATCTGAAACAATAATTCAACACTGATGGTTTTATAAATTTTCTAGTGATTTAAAATATTTTATTTGATAATTAATAGCTTTATTAATCATAACCTTTTCCACTAAGTGGTAGTATGATGGCAGCTGTGAGTGTGCACAAAGCTCCACCCGATTCAATTATACAAGCATGTGCTTCCCAAAAACTTCTTAATAAACTGACAAACACTTCACGTGTTGTTAGTGTAGAATCACCTATAAAATAATTATTACATATTTTTTATAATATATAATATCAAGTTGTTGGTTGAATGTGCATGTACCCTGTCTTAATCCAAATATAGCTTTATTTAGATAACTCAAGCATCCATTTATTGCTGAACAAGCAGCTAATTTAGCTCCATTTCCTATAATATAAAATATTTTTCAAAATATAATCACAACAGACTTAATTAGTGATGATTTTAAGTACCCCAATTAACACCATCTGCAAGTGCAAGGATGGCTGCATCTCCTCTTGCAATCAATCCAAAACAATCTGCAATAGGTTGTCCGGCACGATCACCCAGTATTGGATTATGCTCATATAATGATGTACTTTAGAGAAATTTAAAATATTTTTATATAAATATTAATAAAATTAGGCTATTTTCTTCAAATTCATACCTAACTCCAAATGCATGTTCTGTTGCAGAATCCCATGAAGATACGCCAGGTATAGCTTCATTTGAACTTTCTGCACAAAATGATTCAGTTTTTGAATCATTTTGAGTTTTCTCTATATTTGAATTACTAATATCTAAACTATTCACATTTGTAGTATCAGCCTTTTCATTTTTAATATCCTTTTGAGATTCTTCACTTTGTTTCACAGGATTACTTTTCTGATCATTATCAATATTATTATCATTACTAGTTTGTGCATTTTGCTTATCGTCATTGTCAGTTTTAGCATTTACTTGTAAAGTCTTTGTTACTAGAACAATGTTTTGGACATTTTCTGGTTTCCTATAATCTCTTCTAGGTCTAGACAAAACCATTTCACTGAGAGTTTTTGTGCGCCGGCATTCATACTTGGGTAAATTTCGCAAACGTAATTTTTCTTTTTCTACCTTAGATAATTCCTTATTCACATCACATGCTTTACTAAGAGAAACATCCACAGAACTTTGACTATCAGTATCTGAGGTGCTTATGACAATGTTGTCAAGTTTTTTTTCAGATGTTAAAACATGTGCAGAGGATGTATTCAAAATTTCTTTTGTTGTATTGTCAATTGTAGTTATAGATCTTCTTCTCTTTTCACTACCATCAAACTTATTTTTTGCTGGTTCTATAGAATTGTCACTATTTTTATTAATATCATTAATTATATTGGAATTAATCTGTGAACTTGTTTCAGATTCTGATTTCACCAAATCATGTAAAGACTTCTCTTTTTTCATAAGTTTATTAGGTACATTTTGTTTGATGGAATGATTATCTTTAGTTTTACATAAGTTTTGATTGTTTACAGTTGTATCATCACCAGTCTGTTGTATATCAATAAAATCAATATCTGGGCCAGCACTTAAATGTGAGCATGATCTCTGTACACAAGCTAATCCATCCCCTGGTCCTAAAAACGATTTTCTCAATAATAAACAAAAAATAATATTTTTATCAATCATTCTGAAAATAATTTGGACAACACAGCTTGTTGTGATAATTTTCGATTACCAGTACATGCTGCTGTGATGGTTTCTGGCCCCATCAAATATTCTGCAATTGGCAAATCAGGAAGAGCCTGTGGTGTTTTGCCATAGTGGATTGTCGGTCCTCGCGAAATAACATCTGCATCTCTGAAAATAAATTGATAGATAGATAGATAAATTTCACAATTTTTTGTATCATTACTCTTTACACAAATTTCACAATTTTTATTACCCTTCAATATATCTTGTTATAGAGCAGCCTGCCTTGTTCAACGACAATCTATTGACACCAATTCTATCTCTTGATTCTGCAGAAAAACTTAACTGTCTTAAATAAGTAGTAACTCTTTTTCTGAGTGATGGCATTTCTACAAATGATCACTGCAGTGCGTTATAAAGCTTTAGCGTTATATTTTCTAAGGAGGACCAGGTCAAGGTTAATAAAATTCAATAAACATCAATCAAAGCACTCCATCTTAATTAATGAAAGTATTGAATTGCTACATACGTTGATTATTATTTTAGCATTTTATATAAATGCATGTGCACATTTTTTCAATCAAAAATATTCTTTGCCAATGCGATAACAATATTTTTTAAACGTATTATACAACATAATTCATTTTGAGTTCGATTTTTATGTGTTTTTGTTTGTTTACAAAACAAAGGAGTTTAATTTATGTATTTACAAATGTCAAACGCGTAATTGTTGTGAAATTAGCAGTTTTCATGTGGTTTTGTTTTTTTTTTCTTAGTAATTTTTGCAAAATCAATTGGCAGTACGACTTATGCGTCATAGCTGTCAAAAATCGTATGTCATCTGTCAACTGTCAACCATCTGTCAATTATCTGCCACCTATTTAGTGTTAAAACATATTTAATTTATAATATTTAGTAATTAATAATTAGTGAAAAAGTATTTTTAAAAATGTGAGTACTTTATCTTAATAAAATTCGTTCTGTTCTTAGCATAAATATTTTTGCACAATATTCAATTAAGAAAATTGTATTGTTTTTGAACTAAAATGTAAACAGTATTTCATATATCCAAATTATCACAACACTGCAGCAATTAATCTTACTATTATTTTTAAATATATGTTATTACATATATATTTATTTATTTAAAAATAGTGACGTTCTATATATGACTGATATTTAAGAAATGTGTGTTTACAATGCTGGATTAATTTAACATTCATTATCATTTATAATAGATGGAAGCATTGGATTTAATTGAAAGAAGAATAAATAAATTAGAAAATATAATTGGCAATGTTCCATCTAATAACCGAAGTGGCGAGACAATATCTGATACTCTCTCCAATGTTGGATCATTATTAAGTACAGCCACAGAAGGCCATGAAAAGCTTGGTGAAATGCTTAAGAGGTATAAATAAGTAAAAATAAAAACTGAGTAATGAAATTATCTTAAGCCATCATATATAATATATGTCTTTTATCAATTTTCTTCAGATCTGAAGAACTCGACAACTACATGGATCCAAATTTCATTGATAATCATCAATTATTAGATTTAAAAAAAACTTACATAATGGCTGTGGGTGATGATATTATGAGCAATGTGGAAAAATATAAAGAAATAGTAAAACTGGCACCTGTTCTGGATTCTCCAAACCTAAAAGATCTTCCAGATATCACTGACAACTTGGCAGTACTTCGCAAAGATATTCTTGAGCAAAAACAAAGTAGTGATTTTATTGAGGAAAGTCTAATTCTTGCGATGCAAAGATATGGTGAAATCCAAAAGAACATAATGGAGTCCCTAATAAAAATGAATCTTCGAATTGATGAACTGGAATCAAAAGTGAAGGCAGTTAAAAAATGATTGTATTTTTTTATATAATACCTTTGTTTTATATATGTCAAATCTTACACTGTTCAATATATCAAATTGAAATTGATTATGCTTATAAATTAATATAGATTTTATTAAATAGTCTACAGCAATATTTTCATTTCTACAATGTTTTATACCACCACCTTGTAGTTCTTTAGATGGGCAATACTTCATATCGCAAGACAGTTGTTTTGACTAGTTTTGCAGTGGAAGAATTATTAATTCATTATAGACTGATGATAAATTATTAACACAATTTGGTCTCTATTAGGAATGATGATAAAATATATTTTGTAAAAGTCTACAGTACATAACAAGGTACTTATACTAATTTTAAGTCACAATATTCTTAAAATCTAATTAATTTACAATATGTACATTTTAAAAATACTGCTTATTGTTAATACGCACATTTATACAACTCAAATATTTTTACACACATCTTAACATAATATCTTTTATATAATATCATTCATAATTCATTTTCTAATTTAATGTTGAAAATATGATTTGGAACTAACAAAATTTATTGTTACATATGTAATTACTGTACAGGTAAAATAATTAATTTATATATATATATATATATATATATATATATATATATATAAGTAGTATAACCTAGAAACGGGAAATGATATGGCTTTTAGTAGACGACAAATAGAGTATTTAATCCTCATGGTCAAATTTTATGCACATATTACTTTCTCCTTAATTGTAATCACTTCCTATTTTTTAAAAAAGCCAACTAGACAACATTAGTTAATTGTCTAAGCATTAAATTATTTCCTACTGTATTTTCAATCCATTTTAAAGTTGATGTTGTGAATAAAGAAAATACAGCAGGATGAGGACTTTGTCCACAATTCCCATGATAACTCAAAGTACCCTGCAGTCCCCAAGCATGCCTTTCATCAGAAAAGCACATTAAAGGTGCGGCTTCATCATTCTATAACAAAATGAATCGATAATCAGCTCACATTATTTATTACACGTGATTTAATAGTAAATACTCACATAACAAGGAGTTTTTTGGCTTCCTGTGTAGCCAGCGCATATGGCACCAGCAGGTAGAAGTCCGTTAAAATGACGACTTGAATTGCAAAATGCTGACTCTATTGTAGGTACAGGAAGATAATGTAAAACTTGAGAACTTACATTATTACCTAAAAAATTTTTTATTATGCATGTTTTCATATAAATAAGGTATGATTACATTATATGTAACACTACCTTCAACAGTATTTTGCAAACCCCAACCAACAGTGACACAAATTTCTCTTGGTGCGAGACTATCACTAGCCAAACAAGCAGTATTGATGGTTGAACCAAAACTTAGTGACTCAGAAAGCTCCAGTAAAACAACATCACCGTCAAACATGAATTGTTTATATTTTGCCTGACAATAAAGAATATTATAAACTATATTCTAGTAGAAGTTAACTAAACTAAAATTTGTATATATTACCTGTGGATAAGGAATCATACTTTTAATTCTTCGAATTTGAGATAATTCACCACTCTTGCTGTGATCATCTGTTAATTGGAATTGCGCTCCGCCGGCAAAGAGTTGCCAGTCAGAATAGTTCTGAGTGACAGAATCACCCAAACAACTTAGACTAGATATCACCCATTTTGGAGAAACTAGATGTTATAAAATCGATTATTAATTTTTATTTTATTTTAATTAATAATATTCAATTTAACACGATTAATGTAGGTACATATACAATTACGTACTTATAGTAGAAGTACACTTTTGGCCTGCCTCATTAAAAAGTAAGGCAACACTGGGCCACTGCTCGCGAATACTTTCTTCACCTCCTACTATTCTACTTGAAATTCCATCTTTAGGTAAAGGAGCATTGTTTCCACAAGCTAAAGCGAAAGATATTTTGGTTTAAAAACATAATATTTACTGTGATGGTGTTACAAAAACTTTGTACTTACAGTATTCCTCACAAGTCACTGAAATCAAGCCATCATCGCATTTATCAGTTGCTTGAACTTGAGCCATTAATTTTTGATTCAGAGAGATAGGCTTATGTGAAATCACATAAAACTCATTATAATCATCAGTGTTAGCAACAGTCTCTGTATTTAGGCTTTTAGCAAAACCAAGTTCTTGGCAAACCAACAATGAAGCGTTTTCATTCCAGCCAATTGCACAAACCGGTAACCATTTAGCTCCGACGTTGGACAATCTCAAAATATTTGAGACTGTTTCATTAGATGTTTCCGAATTATTTGCTTTTAATGCAATGCAGCCCCATTCATCGGATCTATCGGCGCAGTCATAAAGACCATCACATTTTTTGTCAGATGTTACGCAACCGCCTCCGGTCTCACATCGAAAGCTTTCTTCTGGACAATCTGATAATAGATTACTTATCTTAGTAAAAAATCATCGAGATATATACCATATGATTGCGAAAAACTTGGTAGACATAGATAATTAATTGAAAAAATGAGAAAAATCGGTAAAGTTTACTTTAAATATCGCAGATCGCAGAAACAAATAATTTTAAAAATCGTTAACGCATTATTTTTTATGCTTAAAATAAAGTAATTTACCGCATGCAAGTTCGTCCTCATCGCCTTCGCAATCGACCTGGCCATCGCACCTCCATGTGATGGGTATACATTTACCCTGCTGCACGCACTGGAACTGGTCAGAAGCGCACGGTCCTGGACAATTCGATTCGTCTAAGCCGGAGGAACAATCCTGACGACCATCACATCGCCTGCTTAGAGGAACGCAACTACTGCCGGTTCCACAGGACATCTCATGTTTACCGCATTGCCAGTGATCTGAATGGTAGAATTATATATTTTTTTATATTATTGTGTATCAAAAATTAAATACTTGGGGCCGATAACTCACCGCAATCGATTTCATCGCTTCCATCTGCACAGTTGACCAAACCGTCACAAACCAAATGCCTGGACAAGCAAGCACCATTGCGGCATTGGAAATGATATTCACAGCCTGATTCTATACACCCGAGCTCATCGGAGCCATCTAAGCAGTCAATTACTCCATCGCATCTTTATTAAAATATACGAGATATTTTTACGAAATCAAACAAAGATACAAAATATTTGGGATAATTAAAATTAAATTAGGACCATAAAAACAACAATTATTGTTCTATTTAATATTTTTTGATAATGATAAATTGTTAATGGTCACTAAAATAAAATACTTTAATTAATTAGAAGAGTTTAATATTACCTTTTATCAGATTTGATGCAGCTGCTACTGTATTTAATTGCTGAACTATTTGAACATTCAAATTGCCCAGGTAAGCATGTGGATAATCTTGATGCATCATCAATCTTGTTTTCGCTATTTATTATTAAATCCCCCATTTTGTTTAACGTCGTTCCTGAGATGTTAAGGAACGACTCATTGGATAAAAAATGGTTCTGTGTTAAATTTTCGTTTTCCGTGTTTTTTGTAGTTGTAGCTGCCGAATGATCTAATAACTTCTGATCATTTGAGAATTTTTTATTGTGATCATCTATGTCGTTTAAATCAGCTTCTTCAAGTAACGTTTTCTCAATCTTTTTATTCAAATAATCTTCATTTCTTGAAGGCTGGCTGTTTAATGGTAAAACACTTAAGAAATTATCTTCTTGTACCGGAGATGCTGGATTTTCTGTTGTGCTGGTGTTGTTAATAGATGCAATCTTTTCATCGTTATCAAAAGATGTAGCTGTTGATGATTCTTGAATGCTTTCCGTAGCAGCAACTTCCATAGATTTTATAGTTGTAGGCGAGTTGTTGCTTAGAAATTGAATTAGGGACGGAAGTGTCGTAATTATATTTTCAGCAGAATTCGGTAGTTGGGTGGTGAATTTTACATCAGAGCTTGCATCTAGATCTTCATTATAATTTTTCATAACAGTAGTCGTATGTCTCAACGTATGAATATCCGATGTACTATGGGTATCTTCATTTTCTTCTACGTTTTCAAAAACTTGATATTGATTAACATTTTTAACCGAAGTAGATTCCACTGCAGATATCGTAGATTGTTCATATACTGTATTTACTGTTGGTGTGTTTTGAAAACCGGCATTTTCAGATTCAACTTTGGAATCATCCATATTGCTTACTTGCTTCTCCACTTCCACTTCTGGCATCACAGTTGTTTGATCAGCGAATTGATTTTCAACAGATTTTATTTCAGATATATTAAATGCTATTTCTTTCATAGCTGATTCTGTTTGCGCATCATACACCATAGTATGCGACTCATATTCAGGTTCAATAGGTTCTATAGGTTGAAAATTTCTGCCAGAAATTACGTCATTGAATAGTTTCGTTATCTCGTCGTCTTTTAAATTATTCATATCTTGATTTAATGGAACAACCGGTAGAATAGGTTCACTGAAAGTTTCGTTCATTCCGGATCTCAAGTTATGGTTGAAATGTTCAACGCCAACCGTCGAATTTTCTTTAACATTAATATCTTTGGGTTCACTAGAAAAATCCGTTTCATTTAGATCAAGATCGTGACCTTTATGTAAAATATTGATTAATGCAGCATTATTTTCAACTTCTGGCAAAAAAGGAGACATATTTTCTGCTAGTGCTGGTATATCTGTGTTAATTTCGCTTTTATTATGAGATGGTTCTTCAGTGTTATTTGTGTTTGTAATTATATCGTTATGGGAGTCTGCATGCACAGTATAAGTAGTTCCAATTTGAATTTTGTCGGATTCTTCATTTGTAGATTTTTGAGTCGTTGTATCAGAACTTCCATGCGTATCGAGAATAGGCGTAGTTAAATCATTAATTCCTGTATAGTCGCCATGTGCCTGTACGCTGTAAACGGAATATACTTTTGGTGTTGATGTTGGAACAGTATGATCAGAACTATAAACTACTGTCGTGGCCTCATTTTTATTATATCCAGCGTTATATTCTTTTACGGGCGATTCAGGTAGAATTTCTATGATTTTGATACCCTTTTCGTACGATTTACTATTATCATCCCCACTGAAAGACTGATCACTAAAGTATGGACCAGAAGTAGTTTCTTGACTAGAGCCAATAAAATTTTGATTTTTAGGGCTTATGGTATAAATAGCATTAGGTGGCTCGGTATTAGGATCTTCATTCACATCTTCTACAACGGAATAACCTTGAGTATCTAAGGGCAGCACATTTTCCGAAAAATCGTGAATGGTTCTTATAGATTCATCATAACTTACGTGAGTTTCTATTTTTGTTGTTGTTGATTCTGAATTATTATTATTAGCTAATTGGTTATCCATATTAGATGATGGAATGAATACAAAATATCTAGAGCTATCTGTTTCATTTTTATCTTCTGAAACTGGTTGGAAAATAACCACATTATCCTTATGTTCTTCTGTGGCATTACTATCTGTTTTAGGAGTGTCATTTGACACACTGAATACCGGAATAGAACTATTGATGCCATGGACATCTTTCATTGACAATACAACATGAGATGTGTTTTTTTCAGTAGCATCTATCATATTAGTTGTTGAAGATTCTGATTCGTCTTCATGTTTAGCCGTAGAGACTGATTCTAATTTGAACCCATCTGTATTTTCAACCTCCAATTTAGATTCAGATTCGTTTTCAGAAATTTTAGACTTTTCTGTTTTTGTTTCTGAATCAGTGCTATGTTCAACAACTGGTACAGAGGTAGGATCCGATTCAGATTTCGTTTCAGGTTCTAACTTATGTTCTGATGTTGGTTCAGGTTCTGATGTTGGTTCAGGCTCAGACTTAGGTTCTGAGGTCGGTTCAGGCTCAGACTTTGGTTCTGATGTTGGTTCAGGTTCCGACGTCGGATTGATTTCTGATGTTAGTTTAGGCTCAGACTCAGGTTCTGACATTGATTCATGCTCAGGCTTGGGTTCTGATGTCGGTTCAGGCTCAGACTTGGGTTCTGATGTCGGTTCAGGCTCAGACTTGGGTTCTGATGTCGGTTCAGGCTCAGACTTGGGTTCTGATGTCGGTTCAGGCTCAGACTTGGGTTCTGATGTCGGTTCAGGCTCAGACTTGGGTTCGGATGTCGGTTCAGGCTCAGATTTAGGCTCTGATGTCGGTTCAGGCTCAGGTTTAGGTTCTGATGTCGGCTCAGGCTCAGATTTAGGTTCGGATGTCGGTTCAGGCTCAGATTTAGGTTCTGATGTTGGTTCAGACTTAGGTTCTGAAATCAGTTCAGGCTCTGGCTTAGGTTCTGATGTTGGTTCAGGCTCCGACTTAGGTTCGGATGTCGGTTCAGGCTCAGATTTTGGTTCTGATGTCGGTTCAGGCTCAGATTTTGGTTCTGATGCCGGTTCAGGCTCAGATTTTGGTTCTGACGTCGGTTCAGGCTCAGATTTTGGTTCTGAAGTCGGTTCAGGCTCAGACTGAGGTTCTGACGTTGGTTCAGGTTCTGGTTTCGCTTCGTGTTCAGCCGATAGTTTCAAATCCGATTCGGGTTCTGAAGTCGGTTCAGGTTCAACACTTGGTTCTGGTGTCGTTTGGGGTACAGGATATTTATTAGAAAATTCACTTTCCATCATTGCATAGTTATGAAAATGCACTTGATCTTGCTGAGCTTCTTCATCTGATGGCGGTTCTGCTACCTTGGGTTCTTCGCTTTCATCAATTGTGTCATCATAAACATTTGAATAAACGTGGAAATGTACTCTGTTAGGATCACCTTGGTTATTTCTATCAAATGATCGAGGATCGGAGGTAGGATAAGCTTGCAACATCTTTTCGGTTGTTGGCTCAGGCTCAGCCTTGGGTTCAGAAGCTGGTTCTGGTTTTGTTTCTGGCTCTGCACTTGGTTCTGGTTCTGCATTAGGTTCTGGTCCAGCACTAGGTTCAGGTTCTGCACTGGGTTCTGGTTCTGCACTGGGTTCCGGCTCTGCGCTTGGTTCAGGCTCTGCTTTAGGTTCATTATCGGCTTGAACTGTGAATGGAATATTTGCATGACGTTCCACATTGTAATATTCCGTAGTTGATGACGTCATTTGGGCTTCATCATGATGAGGGTAATTGTGGTCATGATGATCGTGATGACTATGGTCATGGTCCATATTAACATTACTAACATCATCATGATTTGCGTACCCTCGAGTGCACGTTTTACCATCTGCCGATAAAACCTCGCCTTGTGGGCACATACATCTAAAGTCTCCAGAAGAGTATTCGTATTGACAACCCATTGCGCAGCCGTTATTATCGATAACACATTTGTCAGGAACACGACTTACTTCGACTTTTTCTGCAGCCACGTGGTAGTTACTTATGTACCCATTGTTTTCATTTAATTTTCGCTTAATTTTATCCATCATTGAATTTTCATCAATTGGAGCAGGCTTGTTAGATGATTTTTCAACCCATGAAACTCGATAGGTCACAACAACTGAACCGGGCCTGGGAAAAAATAGTGTAATATTATAACATTTAGTACATTATAATTTAGTAATATATAGGTAATATATTTTGAACTTACTTGAAATCAATCACTTTCAAACTTATGTTGTGCGTTCCATAATTTAATGTCCTTTGATCGAATAATGATTTCATGAGTTCAGCTTCAAGTTGAGATGCAAGTTTTTGGAATTCAGTGCTATTAGGATTGTTGAATTCATCTCTGAATTGTGTATTATCTAAGACTAAAGTTCCTTGCAGAGCATTTGGCACTGAATAAGGAGAGAGATGTTGTTATGTTATCTTCATAATAATATTAAAAACTACAATAAATTTGAGATAAGTACCGTATTGAACATATTTTGACATGTCAGTTGTCGGAGGCATATGAGGGACAGTGGGCAAAGGCGGCGGCGGAGTACTTATTGTACCTCCTGTTCCTCCTGCTCCAAAAGCACTTGCCGTCTTCACATCGTTGAAACCTCTTGATTCTGTGCTTGTCGTTTCAATGGGCGTTGCATCGTTCGTTAATATTACTCCAGCTGCAGAAAAAATGTAAAAATTACATTAAATACCATTAATAATAATTACAAATTGTGCACATTGGATTAATTGCACATTTACAAAATATGAAAAAAGTTAAATATAAAATATATTTAATATGTGAAAAATATATTAACACCACACTTAGATATTTAAATTAATCGGCTAAATATCGGTTTTGAGAGTGTGTATGTACTGCTATATAGGTATATTATTAATATTTGAATAAAAAAATCTTTTTCCATTTACTATACTCACTTGCAGCTAATATGGCAATCAGAATAGCGCAAAACAACAGTGCCAACCCGAACGACCAGCATAAGATCTTCCGCCATCGACTTTTTGTTCTCTTATCCATTGTCACATACAGTTTCTCACCTCTGCAAAAACAAGTTTTGATTTACAGAATTACACGTCTTAAGGCAGACCATTAAATAAGAATATATAGTATGGTGATCCATCCTAACACCGTCTAACCAGTTACCATCGCAATGTTATGTGAAGCGGAAGGGTGTAAAGTTGACAATTATGTACAAACAAAAGAACAACCCACGACCATTAGAAGCAAATTAAAATAACACAATCATCCTGTACGTGGTGATAATTGTATTAATTAATTGACTTACATAGGAAAAATTTGTGACACCAGGAAAAATGTTTTATTTACAGGGATGTAATCATAAAATCAACATATAACGGCCAAAATGTGCTTTTTTTTATTAACAGCAATCACAACTTAACGAGATCTATGAGCTGCTGTGCTAACTTCTTAAACAACGTCGTTTTTAATTATCGAATTTATTCTTAAAATTTTTGAAATTCTATAGATTTTTTTATAGATGCAGCAATTCCAGACATGGGCTATTTTCTAGAAATAGATATTACTACTGCTTGACATCAGACTGTCCAAGTTGGCTATTGAACCTGGAACTTCTGATTAAAATCCAATAGCTCTACAAAATTTGTTGAAATGAAGACTGAAGTAATTTTAGATTGTATATAATGTTGATTTTATGTCTGTGTTTGCCCGAATCCACCAACATAATCGGATCTGGTACCAAATGTATTATTTTTTGTAAAATATTAAGTTAGATTTAATATTATTACATTTATGGCTAACTCTCATTAAGAATCGTTATGGAAAGCAACTCATAAAAATCAGTTTTTTTAATTTCCATTCTAAACACTAAAAAAACTATTTAGTTTAGTTCTGAAATTCTTTATAGAATTAATGATAATAATTCTTTATAAAAATATATAGTCTAATAATTACTTATGTTTTTGTTACGTTTATATATAATTTATTACATATTTTTATCAAATTGACATAGAATAAAAGTGCAAAAAATGTGAAAAGTGTATAAATGTAGAAAAAAAATGTTACGATTTTCTTACGAAAAAATTAATATAAGCATGAACAGTTTAATTTCCATTATTTTTGATTTCAAAATGTTGCATTTGTAAAATCTAAACAATTTTGCAAAACTGTGCAGATAATTAAATTAAGAATGTTTAAATACATAAAAACTACCCGATATGCAAAATCTATAACAAATCACAATTTAATTTTTATTGTAATTATCTGATGACGATTTTCAACATAAAATTTAATTAAACCTAATTTAAATTTAATTTAATTTCTATTTTTTTATATTTCAAATATTGAAAAAAATGTTTAACGATTATTGCAATGATCATTACATTTAACAAATCACAATTAAAGCTTTAATACAATTTTCTAAAAAAAAAATGCATGTATTTGAACGCCGAGATAATCCCTGATGTTTTTCATGTTAAAAATGCATAGTTAATTAAATTATTTAAATTAATTAATTATTTTGTCGTATAAAATAGAATACAATTTTAAAAAATAAACAATGAATATGTAAATATATAAAAAAACTTATAACAAATCACTTATAAAATTTTATTTCAATTTTCTGACGACGAGTCGAACATGGAGTTAAGTTCCAAGCAACTAACTCCGTTTGGGTTCTCTAAATTTGTTATGTCTATTCCCGAAAAAGGTATATAGCAAAAACCTTTAAATCTTTCTTTTTTTTGAACATTAAAATTTGAAATGATCTCATCCAGTACCAAATCCGACGAGCGGAATTATAATGATCGGATACCTAGAACCGCGGATCCATTGCTGGTAGTCTAACAGGCCGTGGGTGGGTTCGTTAACTGACAATCCGCGGGCATTTACGCCCGACGTGGCTGTACGAGGTTCCGCGAATGTCACACTATAACATTCACATAACATACAACAAAAACAACGAAAATAATAAGAAAATAATAAAAATCATTTACCTCATGTACTTCCTATGTTCGTTGACTGGCACAAAATACTCATCATAAGGATCACCTATATCTACTTCAGTCTCCTTCTTTACGGGCAATCCGTTTCTATGTGGGTCCATGTTGACCAATTCTAAATTGACGGCTTGGTGCATTTCTGTATCACCATTACTTTTTATAGGGGATTTTAAATTAGCACCGGCATTGAGTTCACCATTCTTCATAACTTCTTTTTCTTTAGCATGACCATTGGTCACTGGAGTTGGTCGGCCAAAGGAGGAGGTGCGTTTGTTAGAATCAGGCTCGAAACTAGGATTGTCCAGACCGCCGCTACTATCGGTTGCGTCGTGACTTTTAGGATCATTCATTGTCCTTGGTTTAGGTGTAGGCACATCAGTTGCCTTTGGTAATTTTTCTACTGCTTTTGGTTGTTTAACATCTACCCCTGGCTTTTGTTTGTTTTCCACTGGCTTTTGTTTATTTTCCACTGGTTTTGTTGGAGAGGTTTGTTTCACTGGGGTATTTTCAACGCTGGGTAACGTTATTTCGTTGTGGTAAATCGGCGGAGGACTGGAGGGTATGGGTGGCCTATTATTGTTTTGTACAGTAGGTCCACTGATTACCTCAGAAGCTCCGTTTATTGATAATGTGACTTCGTTAATGTGGTAATATTGGTTTGGTTGCTTGGATGCCACAGGATCTGGAGCACTATTGCTCTCCTCCATAGTCGTACTGGTTTAATTCGGCAACCAGATGATTACTGGACCTGGAAATAAAAATTTATAAAATGAAAACTTTTGTAAATATTCCTCATTATTAAAAAGAAAACATTTCATGTACAATAATCGTGAATCATTTTCATAAACTTACACCAACTTTTTTGTTCGCAAATATCATTTAGCAAATGAAGAAAAAATTTAAATAAGCAAATAATGAATATTCAATAATCACTTCACACGTGCAATTTCGTTACAAGTCATCATACAAAAATTTCTGTACAAGCAGAAAGAATATTTACACAAAATACATTTGCATTAAGTATGAGAAATTTTTCGTACTTAAGTAATATTTATGCATATTTTCTGCAAATATTTACCATATGTTTTGAATAGTGTCTATGTTTCAAGAAATAATAGTTTATTTGGAATGCATAAATGTTTTACAATAATACATAAATGTTTTATAATAACATATGTCTCCTGTTTAATAAATATTACCATTCATTCAAGACAAGTTTATGCTTGTTTTTTTATTTATACCTATTTCAATTTACTATCACGAACCGATGGTTGGCTGTCTATTCAATAAATTTCTATAAAAATAATCGTGATCATTTTACATAACAACTTTCGCTAGTTGATATCAGTTTACCAGAGAATTAAAGAATAACTTGTTTCATTTTAAAACACCTTGTCTGTAAGTATCACCTGCTATTCCAGGTACTGTATAATTAAGTAACTGTAAAAGGGACTGAATTCGAAAACCAATTAATTGATAACCTAGTGATACACTTATAAAAATGTGACGGATATAAATTATAATAAAAATTCAAATAAAATGCCTATAAATTTATACATATTTAATAATAAAAATTAACTTTTTTTCAACTTAACTAACAGTGACAAAAGAATCATAAACAAGTGTAATGATGACGATAGATCTGAAACCATCAGATTTTTTATATTTCGTCAATATTTTTAGAGAAATTCATCTTTGGTGTAAAAGCACCCCAGAGTCTGATGAGATGATGAGATATTTTATATGGCTATTTGTAATTAAAATTAAATAAAAAATTAAATTGCAATGCAGGTTAAGTCAATTTGATAACTTCATTAAAAAAGAATAAATTTTGACTATTTGATTATACTTTTGTTTAATTATCAATTGAATTAGAATATTATTTTTGAAATTTATGAAATTATGATTCATCATAAACTTGTTTTACCATTGCAACCTGCAGTCGCGTTGCAATATTTTATCCAATACGAACTTTACGTTGAACAAAGCATGTGAATAAAACAAAAGGTAATTCTTTCCGACCACAAGTAATTGTAAATCATATTTATTTGAAACATGTCCAGTGGTCTAAACATTCGTCGAGTTGTGCGCTTTTGCTTTGGAAGACTCGAAGGCTAAACTCGGAGCAACTGAAGAGAATTTAAGAAGTGGTATTTTGTTTTATTTTCTCCTCTGGCGTTCCTCGACCGTTGTGGATGAACGTGCTTTTCGCATGTCTTGGCGATATGTTATATTATTCCAGTACACAAAGAAATCGCAATAAAACACAAAGCTATAAGCAAACTTAAAATATCCTAGAACACTTCACGTTTGACAACAGAAACACCTGAGCGATAAATGACTCATGGAACAAGTTTTGAATGTGTGATTGAAGTTTACGATTTTTCTAAAGAATTTATTATTATTTTTTTAGACTTTGTTTTATACCTATATAATTATTTTTTATTATTCTAGATAATATCACAATCTTCTATTCCTATAGCAAAAACCCAAGAAAGCTTAAGGAGCTGGAAATGGTCAGTTATCCTTTACGTAACCTTTCCTAGTTGTTGAATAGAATATTCGAGAAATTAAATGACGCTATAAATTTTATGATAATAATAATAGCGATCTACACAATTCAGAGACTATGATTTGATTTATGTATGTAACACTATAAAAGATTTGTAATGAAATTATTTTCTTCTACAGCTTTACCAGATAAATTAAAAGTGCTTACAGATTCACGAATATACAATGATTGAAAATCAAAAATTGATTGAATTGCACTTTATAAAATTATCAAGTGATATATTATCTGATAATCGAAAACGTCAACGTACAAAAACAGTATGTTGATTTATATATGTAAATCTATGAACGGTTTGAAAGTGATAATTATTCTTCTTGAGCTAATATAACAATACTTTTAGGCTTTTCATTTCTTCCAGAAATATTTGACTTTTTTGTAATAGTAACTAATTGGTCAACAAATAATTAATTCAAGATGTAAAATATTTATTATTAAAAAAAATTATAAAAACAACAACTATTAACGTTGCTATTTAATTAAAATAACTAAAAAATTGATAATAAATGTAAATCTTCAATAGCTTTACCAGCTAATAATAAAATGCTTTGCTATGCACAAATACGTAATGTATTCTACAACAGAAATTTCATAGAGTATATTTATATCATAGAAATTTATAAATTTCATAGAAATTTCTATTTATTTTATATTAATAATTATAAAATAAATAGAAATTTCATATAGTATATAATTTGATGATAGAAGACTTCAACACATATTATTTTATTCTACTATTTTTATTCTATTATTCTATATAAATTGTATTTTTAATTTTGAAGTATAATTTATTAAAATTTTAATAAAAATGATTAAAAATAATTATGGTGGTAAATCATGAAATAAATTGGAAAATAATAGGATACTATGTAAAAAGTTACTATGTGGTATTAAAATAAAAAATGTGGTCTGATATATGATATAGAGATTACTTTCAAATTTCATACCGTTTAAATTTGAAATACTTTGTATGATAGAAATATATTCTCTGTATCTATTCTGCCATCCAATTTGAATTTCTACCAAAGCTTTCAAAATTTATACATTCTGTGAAAAGCAACTAGTTGATCAAGACAAGACATTAGAATCTTCACATATTTCTGATAATGGTATTTGAAAATACTTGTAACTTTTGTGTTTTTTTGAATTTTCAGCTCTTGATAGAATTATTGTTAACGATTATGTTTAGAACTTTTCTAGTAAATAACTTAATGAACCAGACAATATTTTTTAAAATTTTGAGATTTTCATCTTGGTCGTCATTAAATTAAAAGAGTTAGAACGTTAGAACGTTAGAATGTTCTCCCTTTCTTTATATTATTAGATGTTGAATTTTATTATTCCAAAGTTTGAGAAATCATGTGTTACCATAATGTCTTTGTATTACAGGCAACAGAACGATCTGTTTACCTTCCCAGTCGGCGTTGTAGAGAAATAACGAACAACGCCTCGAGCTTACCCTGAAATGGGCTGAGTTGCAGGGTTGATGGTGGGAACTATAATCGACAGAAGTAAATAAAAATTTAAAATTATCGATAATCATATCGACAAATCAAATTCATGTTTTATTTGATGAAGCCAATAATAAATGTTATATGTAAATCGATAAAAATTTTAACATTGGAGAAGAAATTGGAGACTTCACTGGAGATTGATCAGACTTTATGATGGCAAGTTAAATTTATCAATTTTACTATGTGTCGTCGTAGTAGACTTGTTGAAGTATCAAACAACCATATTACAAATTTGGTCTGCAAATAATTAGTGAAAATGTCATAATTTCCAATATCGATATATCGATCTATTACTTTACCATCCCTACTGGTTCTTTCTTACTGGGAATTCTAGTTGCCATAGCGTGCCGAGCCGATGTCGGCATGTTGACCTGCCTACACAATCATAACAAACGCGGTTATTGTTTGTTCCTTTTGTTTTTGGCATTTTGCACGAAGACCATATATGTGCATATCCTTCCTAGGGCCTGCAGTTATGTAGACACATGCTAATGTTCGAGTTGCAAATCACGAAGTCTAGAAGCTCACATGATATTTTGTTCTCTACATACATAGCAGTTGAAATAAAAGGAATAAGAAAAAAGACAAAAATGACTCAATGAGGTATTTCCATCCATCAGTACAGCCACTTTTATATGGAAACATACAACCTCTATATAAAAAAATTACATTTGCCTAAATATTTTTAACGTCGTTATATTCTCTGACGATTACATTTGCGATGCAATTTCAATTTCATAACACTTTGGCAAAATCATTAATTTTTGAAGTATGTGGTCCACAAAACACTTGAAAAATTTCTCTTTGAAATTATTTTACATGTCGTATACTTTCGTGAAAGTTCAATTCAAGCAACATATCGAATGATTTTGGTGAAGTATTCGTATCAATAATAACGACAGGTAAAAACCAGTAATGGAAGTATGCGAAAATTCTACTCAGTAATTACATCAGATAATCAAATAAAATAATTTTTTTATTACATCGACACGTAGTATGATGATTCAAATTATTTATTATTATATTATATAGATTATTAAATAAAATGATTAATTTAATAAATCTGGTCGGTCCTAGGAATAGCATGGGTAAATGAAGGAGAAAGCCAAATAATGATGACGATTTGTCCATCGGTAAAAAAATGAAAAAAAAACTATTAACCTTCAGTTCATCATATAATTAACTACATTTACTAACTATTACCATTTAGAGATAATATTTTGAATCTTCAACCAAGATTTACCATTACTACTACTTCTATTTTTCTCATCATTTTTATCATTCAGAATAATTGCACAATTGGATTAGATCTTCTACCCAGATTCAAACTATCTAAATAACTAGAGTTATCTTGTTTTAGCTGCAGTTCCTCATTTTTTTAAACCAAAGGTCTTTTTGCAAAAATAAATCCATAAAGTGCAATAATTAGTTATGGAACTTTAATATGAATAGATGAGCTTCCGTTCCGGCAATTGTCTTATGAAACACATAAAATATAATTACAAAGCCTACAGTGCTACAGTATTTTATTGTACAAGTAATGAAAATAATAATATACCACTTTATTTCTGAAGGCCTTGGAGCTCTTCTCAAGGTCATTAAGACAACAACAAAAATGATAAAACTAAAAGACATCCAAGAAAACGACTAAGATGGAAAAATGCA